ATCGATCTCACTGAATCTACTTCACTGTCGGTCTCACGCGTCCTTACTATCGATCCCACTATCGATCTCGCAATCGATCTCAATACAACATCCACATCACGAATTCTCCAATCATCCACTGATTGGGTTTTTCCCTGGTGTACATGTATATGTATTCACATATAAATACCGACCGTGAAGTAGATTGAGTGAGATCGCTCGTGAGATCGCTAGTGCGACCAAAAGTGGGATCGATTGTGAGATCAATAGAGAAGTGGGTAGTGAGATCGATGGTGAGACCGATCGATAAGGAGATCGACCGAACACCCGGGAACCCAGAAACCAAGGAAACCCGCCGCCAACCGAAATAGGTCCGGAACCAGCAACCGGTAACCTGGGAACCCAGGTTCGGGAACCCCGGAACTTGGCCGCCCACCGAAATCGGCCCGGGTTTTTTCGCCAAATCTTCCAATCTCCGTTAGGACCTCTTCAGTGCAAGCATTGATTGGGGAATCTGTATTTATATACACATCGAGATGTATGTATGTGTGTGTGTGTGTTCCTTTGCCTCCAATCAGCTTCGTCACGAATTGATCAACAAGCGCTTCCCGTTCCATAGTCGACTGGTTGATCAACGGCACAGTCACGCCATCCGTGCTGTACGGCTGCTCATCATGGATACTCAGGCGTGTCCAACGGAAGATGCTCAGGCCTATCCATCTTCGTTGTCGTTCAACTTATCCCGTACGTGTTTCCAGGTCTTTTTTGGGGGGGACGTTTGGGAATTCAACCCTTCCAAATTTGGTTGGGTTTATTATTATTTCCACAACTGTATTCGAACCGTTTTCCAATACTGTTTTAACAATCTTTTTAAGCTCCTCTACCACTTTCTCCGCCGCGAGCTTTTCGTTGACGCCGAAGGCGATGAACTTATTGGTACGCACCTCCTTCTCCGACAGTTCCTCTGTAGTCATCTCGCACATCTGACTATTATCTGCTTTACTCTGAATGTTGGCTTTCATATCCTGAATGTCTTGCTGCATGGGATCGTTCGTCTCCTTGATTTCATCCACCGCTTGTCCAGCCATGCCCGCTGTCAGCTTCGCCTGACATGCGATGTCCTTAGATTTTTTCGCATCCTTCGTGGTATATTTCATGTCGTTCCTGATGCCTGCCATAATCTTCATCATCCTCTTCATCATGCACTTGATGTCCTCCTTCTCCTCCTCCTCCTCCTCGCCTTCTTCCTCTTCCACTTCGACGTCCTCTGATTCCTCCTCTTTCCCTCCTTCAGCCTTTAGTTTCTTGTCCTTTGGAGTCTGGCCCGTGCTCGATTGAGCCTTACTTTTTCCACCCTTATCCATGGTTGAAACAACCGGTGTCGTCCACAAGTGGGTCGCACAAGTGAGAGCACAATTATGAATATGAGAATCAGGTCAGAGGGAGCGAAAGATCAGGATAGTACAGGTATCAGTGTGAGCCGGAGTGTTCTTTGCTTGAGCCTTGAGTTTGAGCCAGAATGGCTTGAGCCAAATGGTTTGAGCCGAGGTTTGGCGGGCGGGGGGCAATCTGGGGAACGTTTTGCACGAGTGCTCTTGCCTGACCCTGCCCCGTGTTTTCGACGCCGGGCTTGGGCGTTGGCCGTCGACTGACCTCGCGCCGAACGGCGGGCGCGTGTTTTCACCAGTGGAGCTGGCTTGGACGCAGGATCCCACCTTTCGGGCGGCTGCCTGGGCAGCGGTTGCCCACGGCGCAAATTTCCCTCACCTGGGCTCGCTGCGCGGGGCGGTGCCCCCCCCGAATCTCTGCCCGCCCCTCTCCGCCAGGGGCGGGGTGGCGGAATTGTGCTGTCCCGACGGCGTCACTGCGCGCCGCCGGCCGCTGCGCGTTGCCTTCTTGGCTGCTCTGCCAGCGTCGCTTGCGGGCAGGACCTGGCGAGCGCCAGTGGGCCAGTCCAGCCCCGCGCCCACCTGTGGCGCCAGGCGGCTACTGGCGATGCGCTCGACGACGCGACCTCGTGCAATGCCCTCGCGCACGCGACCTGGCAAGACGTCGTTCAGGGGCGAACCGCGGCCTGGCAGCGCGACGGGAATCACACGGCCGACGCCCTATCGGAGGCTGGGGCGGCCGAAGGCCGTTTAGCCGTAAACGACCGTGCCTTCCTTGTCGGCTGTCTCTATCTTGCGCGGCCCCTCGCCTGATGCTCCGGGCGCGCGGAGGCCGTGCTGATGGCAGCTGGCATTCGCGACCATCACGGCTTGCAGGGCCTCCGCAGTATTGATCTTGAGGTGGAGGGTTGATCGGGGTCGGAGGGCGACGTTTGGGGTGTTGGGGGGGAATCGCATGCCGAGCGTGCGGTCGCGGGCACGGCCTTGGGGGTGAACACGAGCACGGCCGGTCGCCTAGGCTCGAAGCCCGATGCGCACGCAAACGCTCCACCCCCTGTTGGTCCCTGGCGCGTGCGCGAGCGCTGCCTCTGTGCTGCCCGGATTCGCGAATGGCGTTGCCCAGAGAGTGGGGCCAGGGGTGCGTCCCATTCAATGTGAGTTTGCACGACTTGTTCGGGTCTCGCCACGTGCCCTAGTCGGGGCCATGGGCTCTTAGCGCCCTGTCTGCACAGGAGTGGTGAGCCATCCCCGAGGGCGAAGACTTCACGCAGCCTCGCAGCCATTTCGCTGTAGAAGGTGCGGGAGGGGTCCCTGCCGCCCGCATGGCCGAACCTCCGCTAGGCCCTCCAGTTCGGTGGGGCGCGACGTGCCCAAGAGTGGCACCATGCGATGCCTTCCTGGTATTTGGATTTTGCACGCGCGGCCAGGCTGAGCAACTTGACCGCGAGGCGCAGCGTCTGGCCGCCGAACGGGCCAGCTGGCTCGCTGCCGCACGTGCTAACGAGGAATGATATGGATATCCCTCTTCTCTTCCTCTTCCTCACTCTGGAGTCGCGCACTTCCTCTTCCTCCTCCTCCTCCTCCTCCTCCTGCTCCTCCGCCCCCCTCTCTTTCTCCCCCTCCTCGCCCTCCCCCCCACTCTCCCTCTACGTCCCCCTCCTCCCAACGTAGCCCTCGCCCACCTCCGCCCGCTCGTTCTTTACCTCTCCCCATCACCCGCCTCCAACGTTCGCACTGGCGTGATGTCCTCTCTGAGAGAGATACGCTGCCCTCTCCCTGGAGCCGTCCCCAGAAAACATAATTCATCTGTTCCGCGCTATCACTGCGCGCGTGTGGCTGTACTCGCAAAGGGTCCCAATCACTCCAGCAATCCACTCGCATGATGCTGCATGTCGTTTGCCCTGGAGGAGGAGACTGATGATGAGGAGTGTCTCGAAGAAACTGGATTTGTGCGTCTGGCGGTGAACTGGGTCGTGGGTTGGATCCTATGTCTGTAGGTTCGGCGGGTCTTGCGAATGGTTCTTACGGCGTCGGCAAAGTTCTGCAGTGCGTTATTACCATAGATCAGGTTTGTCTGACATTTCCAGTTCTGAGGTTGATGTTTTGCTTCTGATGGTTGGCGTTGGCTGTGGCGTTGGCGTTGTTGTTTGGTGTGTGTGTGTGTGTGTCGTTAGTCCCGCCACCATGCCAGCCCAGGATTCTGGGTGGCGATTGTTCGAAGGGGCACGGGATTCCGTCATGTGTGGCATCCCGTGCCCCCAAGTTTGCGAAGGCCGTGAGTGGTGTTGTTTGGGGTGGCGGCGGTGGCGGCGATGTTGATGATGATGTTGATGATGTTGATTGTGATGCCGATGGTGATTACGATGATGTTGATGATGCGGATGCTGATGATGATGATGATGATGATGATGATGATGGTGATGGTGATGATGATGATGATGATGATGCTGATGATGATGATGATGATCATCATCATGATCATGATGTTGATGGTGATGATGGTGATGATGATGATGATGCTGATGCCAATGACGATGCCGATGATGCTGTTGCGGCTGATGTTGATGATGTTGATGACGACAACGCTGGTGATGGTGAGGATGCTGTTGATGGTGACGGCTATGATGATGATGATGTTGTTGATGATGATGATGATGATGTTGATGGTGTTGATGGTTGTGGTGATGATCATCATGTTGCTGCTGCTGATGATGACGACAACGCTTGCAATGACGACGACGACGTTTTGCTGCTGATGATGATGATGATGCGGATGACGATCGTGATGGTGATTGAGGTCGTGATGGTGATGTTTGTGGTGGTTGTGATGATGCTGATACTGCTGTTGGTGATGACGAGGATGATGCTGCTAATGATGATGATGCTGGTGGTGGTGGTGGTACTGATGACGATGCTGCTGCTGATGATGCTGATGCTGATGATGAGTTTGAGGAGGAGACGGTGGACGAGGAGGAAGAGTATGTCGACGAGGAGGAAGATGAAGAGGAAGTTGAGGAGGAAGAGACTGACGAGGAAGCTGACGAGGAAGGAAGACGAGGATGACGCTGAGGAGGAAGATGACGAAGAGGAAGATGAGGATGAATAACGAGGAAGGCCATCATGTGTCGCATTTCGGTTTGACTTCCTGAGGAGCTCTCATAGAACTTACTTGGGCCGTGTTGGGGCTGTATTGGGTTGTTGTGGGGCAGTCTGTTTGGAGATTCTTGGGGCCGTTTCCAGACCCTCTCGGGCCCTCTTCGGCCGTCGTGAGGCTCTCTTGGTCGTCGGGGGATCTTCTTGGCCGTGCGGGGTTGCCTTGGTGTTCTCGTGGGGTCATCTTGGCACCGTATTGGTCGTCGAGGAGCCTTCTGAGGCTGCCTTGGCTCCTTCTGATGGTCCTCTTCGGCCAGCTTGGGCCAGCTTGGAGGCCCCTTGGGCCATCATGGTTCTCTTGGGCAGCCTTTGGACCCTCTTGTGGGCCTATTGGGCCGTCCTGGGGTCCTCTTAGAGCTTCTTGGGCCGTCTTACGCTGGCGGAAGCTCAAAAGACGAGAACGCGAACATCAATCAAGGACATCAGGAACATCGATGAGCTGGGCCTCTTCGGGCCCTGTTGGGGGTCAGCTTGTGATCAGATTGAGCCCACTTCGAGGCAGCTTGGGCCGTCCTCAATTCTTCTTGGGCCGCCTTGGGGCCATCTTTGGCCGTCTTCGATGCATCTTGGGCCACCTTGGCGGCCTTGGTTGCCTGCCTTGGCAGTCTTGGAAGCTGGGGAGCGCATTCCCATAGTTTTTGTTCGAATGATCGTGGCCTCGGGGGCGCGGACCCATATGTTTGTACTAAGGGTCGTAGCCTCGGGAGGGGGGGGGCAATGCATGGGCAACTCTGCTGGTAGAGAGGGGGTGGTGGCTCGGAAGAATAAGACAGACATCCGACTTGACAGCTGTTGGCATTCTCCCACGCCTCAACGTGCCAGGGAGGCACTGTGGTCGCGTGATGGATTCGCCATGAGATATTTCAGGCTCAGCGAGAAGTGTAGCCCCAGTATTCGTCCTGGCTATTATTTTCTGTCTCTTTGCTTCCATCACTGTTTCTTGACGTTCTCTCCGGAGGCATGTCGGAAAGTTTGTTGTTGTATTGACGTCCAGACACAGACACATTCAAGCATGACATGCAGCGTACATTCCGCAATGCCACAGGAGAAGATGCTGTACTTCCGCAAGCCTGACTGCTGGCCAGGAGTATATATAAGACAGGGGTCCGAGGCCCGAAGCCTTGACTTTGCCATTCTTGCATTTCAGTGGCGCGCTTCTGTCGGACTGCAGCGCACACTTGACCTCTCTACTTTACTGTCAAACGCCGCTCCTCTTCCCGTCTCTTCTACTGCATGCCGTTCTGGTCTCTCTCTCTCTCTCTCTCTCTTTTGGCTGCTCCCTTCCACAATCATCAGCTTGAACGCTCAAGGTGCCATTCATAGTTCCCCTGGCGTTGAGATGAGAGAGAGAGAGGGAGAGGGAGGCACGTCGGGCGACAGCTGTAACATCGCGCAGCTTCGCGGGTCGGCGAGTCTTGGGAGGAAGGTGCGCCCAGACCAGTGCATCCGAGGAAGAGGAGGTCGCCCGTGTGGGTCGCCCAGGCAGACGCGCGTTGGCGCGTCGCGGCCGGCGCCGGAGAGGTGCAGGGACCGCGTCAGACAGTCGCGCTTCGGCTCCGTGCGCCGTGAAGCACGCGCGAGGGTGATTCGGACAGCATGCGCGGCCCTCTGCCTGCGGTCCTGGCGGGTTGCAGCCGGATGCGGCACGGGCCCCAGTCGATCCCAGGTGGCCCCCGCTGCTACAGGGAGGCCCAGATGACCTCCAGAGCTTCTAAGCTCTGGAGGCCATCTGCCCAGCGTTTCTGCCATCTTCCAGGAGAGGAAGGAGAGGAAGAGGAGCAAGAGGAGGAGGAGGAGGAAAGAAGAAGGGGTCCGCCCAGCTTTCACATCATCTACGATGATGTTCGAAACGATGGGCCTGATTGTTTCCGTGTTCCATGTCGACTGATTTGTTTAGTGGTTGTTGTTACGTTTTTGGGATTCTCGTTCATGCCGGTTTCGGATCGTTTTTGTTGTCCAGTGCCGTTTTGTTTTTGTGTTGGGCCGCCGTATGTTTCCGTCTTCGCTGGCCGAACACCGACAAGCTGAGCACGGTGGAAAACGCCCCCCCCCCCCCCCCCCAGCATTTTGTAAGTATCAGGTGCCCATGGGCTCCCAAACGGCGCGAGAAGCTGCGGGCACCTCCCTGCGCCTCGGAAGCGGGCCCCGCCCGCGGCCTGCCCCGCCCTTGCATGGGCCGGGGTGGGCCTCGCCCGCGGCTCGACCAGCTCGACGGCTCGCGCCGAATGCCTGCGCTCGGCTCCGCTCGGTGCGGTTGCCCGGCCTCTCCTCGCGAGCGACGCGCAGCAAGCGGCAGAAGCATCAGCTTCCGGAGCTCCGCGCGGATCTTTTTGATGGGCGGTGGGCGCCCTCGGCGGCGCTCTTGATGCCGTTCCTGGCGCGCTCCGCGCCCCCCGAAACCTCCTTATCACCCGGCGGGTTGCCGAACAGGTGTGTCCCTCGCGGTCTGGACGCCGAGGCGCGATCCCGTGGGCAGCCTTCCGCGTGGGGCACGCGCGCAGAGCCGCCCTGTATCCGTGGGGCCGTGGCCGAGGAGTCCAGACCGCGAGGGTGTGCACTTGGCTGCGGATGTGCTTCCCACGTGCGGATTCCCCTCGGACGGGGTGCTCGACTCGATCGGCCCGCCCAGCATGCAGGCGGGTCGGTCGAGCTGCGATCCAGGCGGCTGGCGACCTGGGAGGGCCTGGCTTCGACCGATATCGCCCTGCGGTTGGAGCGGCCCTGCGGGGAGGGAGCGCCCTCCCAGGGGGGTCAATGCGGGGCCCCCAGGGTTCCGGACCCCTGCCCTGGGACCGGCCCTTCGTCCCATGCTCGCTGCTGGGCGGTCCCGGGGCCAGGTAAGGGCTTGGGCCGAAGAGGCCGGAAGCCTCCCGTCGTGATTGCGAAGGCCTTACGGCCAGTACCGCCGACCCTGAAGGGGCTCGTGGCGACGACGACCATCGTGGGGGCAGTCTTGAGGCTCTCTTGGGCCTCTCGGGCCGTCCCTTCTCTGTGACTCCAGGGGCTCCGGGATGCCCTCCGACGCCCCCGGTGGTCAAGCGGCCTTCCCTCCGGAGGGCCCGTGGGCGGGCCGTGCGCGGTGCGCCCTTCCTCTTGGCATCGCTCGGACGTGTGCATGTTTCTCTCGGCGAGGACCATCGAGGAGCATCATTGATCATCGAGCCGAAAAATGCACGGGGAATGCGCGTCCGAGCGATGGCACGTCCTGGCCTCTCGTCTCTTCGCGCCCCTCTGCTCCCCCCGCACCCCCACACGCCCAGGCTCCGGCGGCAGGGGGCGGCCAACCACTGCGTGCTTGAGACAGATTACTATCCTCGTGGAAGTCGATCAATGGAGGGGAAGCATGTTGCCAAATAGCTTCCAGATGTGTAAAACATATGTTAAACATGTTTTATACATGTAAGCAAATGCTAAAAACAGATTTAGAACATTTTCCCGACATTTTGTATTCAATGATGGACTGTTAGGGTGTCAACTGTCGTGGCATCCACAACCCTATCCCCATAGCTGGCATCATCTTACCTCGACGCCGATCCTAAGGATTCCCGCAGTTTCAGTTTCTGGGGGCGCATCCCTAAGACTGTCATCGCCGTTGGGCTTTTCGATCCTACGTATGGGGATCAGATCGAGGCTGGTTAAGTCAGGACCGCCGAACGATCCCATGCGAAGCAATCCGGTGCGCTTCAATTCGCCGGCTGGGGCGCGATTCCGAGTTGGTCCCCCCCCCCTGGGCCGCGCTCATGCCGCCAGCCATGATTTGTGTATCCCCCTCTTGGAAGCCCCCCTCGTGAACCCCCCCCCCTCGTCGCACTCGCAGCCTTTGCGCTCCTCCCGCGCGCGCGCCCGTCCCACCTCTCCGCCGGCTGCCCTCGCGCGCCCAAGGTCGAGTTCCAGCTCTACGTCGACGACAAGGGCGCGGGCGCCTGCGAGGTCTCGGGGGAGGGCCAGGCGTATGTACCCCTGAGGCCAATATGAACCTCCTAGGTGGAGTCCGAGTAGACGGGGTCGGCCGCATCGCCGAAGCAGTGCCGATGTGATTCGATGGTGATCGTTTTCTTATTCATTGTTTTGCCGATCGGCGCGGGCCCTCGCACCCTCCGTTCTCCCTCCATGGAGTAGATCTTGGCTGTTTTTGGTGCCTGTCTCAATCAGGTGGAGTTTCCCCCGTAGGTCGCAGTGCTGTAAGCAGTCGCATCAAGGAGAGGTCCAGAGCCATTCCCCCCCCTCCCCTCCCATTCCGCTCAATGTCGAAACACCGAATATGAAGACGTTTATTTGCGGAGGCCGATTTTCTCTGCGCCGATGTCGCGCCATCGCCGATGTCGCCGTTGCATCGCCAATGCATCGTCGATGCATCGACAATTCATCGACAATGCGGGGCGATCATCCGACCTAATCTATTCGGACTCAATTTGGGATGCCTCTAACGTACCCTCGAGGCCAATGACAGCGTTTTTGTGTCCCCTGGCAATGACGGGCGTGACCGGGGTGAGAGGGGGGGGAGGGGGGAGGGGGGAGGGGGCCGTTCACGTCGCGATTCGAGGGCGCCGTCTGGGAACGCCCAGGAATGCCTCATTTCCAGACGGCGCCGCCGCCAATCGTGACGTGACCGGTGGTGGGGGAAGGGGTGGGGGTGGGGGGGCGGGGCCGGTCACAGGCGTCATCGCGACTCATAAAAAAGTGAGCTCAAGCGGTTCCCAGAATTGTGGCCAGCTGGGGGGGGTGCGGCGGCCCAGCAATGGTCCCAGCCAGCAGACAGGGATGGAAAGGGGCCATTCGTCGCCACGGCTGGACGCGGCTCGAGAAGCTTGTCAGTTTCGGCTCCAGGAGAGGTCTGGGGACCGACTTTGAGCGGATTTGACCTCGCCCTCTCCTCTTGACCGTTTCTCGGGGCCTATCAAGCGCAGACCTTCCCGCCGCTTCTAATCCCAGAGGGTCAAGGCGACGCAAGCATGGATGCAGGCGCGTGGACCATCGACGGGTCCCGCTTCCATGGGACATTGGCGCGCTCCGTCGCCAATGTAGGCGGCGCTGGCGTCATACCTTACCTCGATCCGTCTATCTGGCGCCCACACGCCAGACCGACGCATCTATAATCTGCGTTAGCGTGCAACCCAGGGGGGGCCGCAGGGCCCACCTCGTGGCGTCCAAAGGGCGGGTCAAAGCGCACACCGTGGTCGGTCACGTGGCCGCTACGACACCGAAGTATTTGGGAGCACGTCGTCCTGGGAATACGTTTGTACCTTCCGGAGAGGTGCACGAGGCCCAGCCGGTGTTCCCGACGGCGGGCGCGAACTTCGCCGCGGGGGTCCCTGCCGCGGCGGGCTGAGCTTCCTCTCGCTTCCTCCTCCTTCTCGAGGACCAAGGAATGGCATGAACATAAGCTTTCGGAGGTCCGCGCGGATCTCTTGGGTCAGCCTGTCGGCGCCAGTGTCGCCGCGTCGGGAGGTCCAGCGCCGACCCAAGAAGTCCGCCCGTCTCTCCGAACGTTGCCAAACATAAACAGCAACGTTCGGACGTCCGCGCGGACTTCTTTGGTCGGTCCTGGGCCTCCCTCCCTGGACCAACGCTGCTTATGTTTTATGATTGTTCGTTGTTCCTCTTTCTCTCTCGCTCTTTCTTCGGGGGCAACGATCTGGGGGGATAGGCATAGGGGGATGCATCGACCCCCAATCGCCCACTGATCGCCGATAGGGTCCCGATATCCCCAACCTGCCCAGGAAGGTGCGGGTTCACTATCGAGGGCCTATCGCCGATCTATCGGCGATGTATCGCCGATTCCAGGTCGATGCATCCTCCCCTTTGCCAGTCCCCTCCTATCGTTGCCCCCCATTTCTCCTCCTCCCTTCTCCCTGCTCCCCTCTCCGCCATCTTTAACCCCTGCCCGATCGTCCTGTTCCTGCTGCTCTCCTCCCCCACTGTGGCTCATCGGCTCTCTTGGTGAGCGCTGAATCATGCTGAGCCCTCCTCCTGCTCCTCTTCCTCCTCCTCTTCCCCCTCCTCCCTCCCTCCTTACACCCCTCCTCACTATTCCCTCGCCTCCTCCTGCCTCCTCGTCCCTGGTTCCACAACCTCCCCCCTCCTCCCTTTTTCTGCCTCCCCCTCCCTCTTTCCTCCCCCCTCCTCCCTCCTCATCTTCCCCCCTCTTCTTCCTTTTCCTTCCCCTCCTCCCGGCCCTCCCTCCCGCCTCGCCGCCGTTTCCCAGCCCAAAGCATTTCGGCAGCGGCGGCGCTCACCCAGCGGTCGGCATTTCACGTGCCACGATCGGCTGCTGGGGTATGCTGCGTGCAAGTGCGAGGGGCCAGTGGTATCATTGCCGAGCCCGCGAGATCTGCTCCGCGTCTGACTGTGGCATCCTGATGATGCCTTGGACGTGGGAGGGACGTTTTTCTTACATGGATGTCGTATGGACACGAGGGGGGGGAGGAAGGGGAGGATGTTGGGAGGGGAGAAACTACCACGCGGGTCGGAAGTGGAGGAAGGTGGGAGGGGAGGACGTTGGGAGGGGAGGCAGGTAGGGATGGAAATTGTGATGCTAGGAGGGGGAAACTACCACACAGAGGACGTGGGAGGGGCGTTTTCTGCCATGCATGTCGCATGGACACGAGCACGATACAGTAACCGTGGCGTGGGCAGGTGTATCACATTAGGTCGTCGATAATAGCAACAGCTTATATTTTCTGGCGTACCTGGGCCAGGGAATATTTCAAGGCGATGCGGAAAATCCGAATGAACCCTGGAAGCTGGGATATTTCCGTTTTGTGTGTATACCCCGCCAACATGTACAGATGTAGTAGAAAAGGACACATAGCCGCTGAAAGACTTTGATGACACACGTGCGCGATCGAGTCGGGCGATGCCGAGCTTGAAGTACACCCCGTTACCATGGGAATGGGCATTGCTGTGGTCTCTGGGCGCCGTGAAAGAAACACCGTCGTAGACCCTATTCATCATCACGCGGGACCCTGCAACTTGAAACGTATTTGTACAATCAGGGGGGATATGTTCGAACGTTTTGTGATACCATAACCTTGTGGTTCCTGGTACCTGTTCGATGCAGTATGGGCCGACGTGGTTTGGAACCCAGGGGTACATGTCTGGACATCGTTGCCATCCCAGCCTCTCTTGGACCAGGTGTCCGAAAACGAGGTTTTGTATCGAATGCCGACAAGCTCGAGACCTTGCTGGGACAACCAGGCGTTGGCCACTGCTTTCCAGATAGGCACCGATTGAGAAGTTGTTCACCGAGAGCTCGAACCGGAGACGTTGGCTCAATCAATCATGTTTTGCGACGCGTGGAAGGAGCATCATGAACGGGCGGACGTGCATTCTGATAGCTGGGCGGGGCTTGCGCAGCAAGTGGCCTCCGCCACCTTCGCCGCGGCCGAGCGCCCCCTCGACGCAGCCGAGAGACGGCTCCGACAAGAACGACCCCGTCTCGCACGAGAAAGACGCGCCGATTGGAGGCAGCAGCGCACATCACGACATTGAGGATATGAGAACAATTCCCGTGGCGTTCGCGCGGAATGCCCATCGAAGATTTGACGCATATCCAATCGGCCGCGGCGGCGGGCGCGGCGGCGACGAGCAGCGCGTCGTGAACGGCACCATGATGAATCGCGTGAAGCTCGCGCTGCTTGGCACCAGGCCGAAGTGGGCAAGTTGGCCCGACTTCTATCTGGACTCCCTATTGGATTCAGTAGTCTCAGGTGCAATGCCATCACATCATAACGACAGACACTGGGCAAGTTTCATGCGCACCTGGCCCAGGAGGCGGGCTGACGGCGGATTGGAAGCATCATCTATCTTAACTTCTGGGCGAGGAAGCCGCCATCAACCTGGGGGGCTCTGGCGCGGAGATCACCGCGAGCGTCATCGTGCACCATATTTTTTGAAACGCCGGAAAGTCCGAGGCAGTCGGCGCGGGCAACGATGGGGCGCGCCCACGGAGTTAGCGTCGATGATTCTCGAGCCGAGCCACTTGTCGCGTCAAGCGGGCCCGATGTTCGGCGTTGTCTGCGGAGTTGAAGCACCGGGCCCCGAACCTCGCGGCCTCGGCTTGCGCGGGGGGGCTCAGGGGCCCCAGGGGGCTCTTCGGAAGTGAGAGGGTTCCAACGGGCCCTTGGTGGACGCGGCAAAGTTCTCGAGTCCGCGGCCGAGCCCGGGCCGAATTTGATAGCGCGATCACTCGCAGGGCCCATGTCGCCCAGCTGCCGACGAAGTCCAGCATCGCGAAGAGGGCGCTGCTAGATTAATGCCACGGCGAGTCGCGCGTGCCCAGTCGACGCGTCGCCCGCCTCTAGACGTTTCATGAAAATATGAGTGCGCCGTAGTAAAATGGCCATGGGCATGAGGGTGTGGAGTTGGGCAAATTGCCTCCCCGGCGCCGGCGTGGCCTTCTGATGTGCAAGAGGAGGGGGCCATCGCAGTGCAACTACGAGCGGGCAGATCCCCCGGGGAAGGATCGAATCCCGAATGCGCGGGGGCTTCCTGACATGACCAGCGCGCCCGCGTGCCCTCTGCTCGTGCACTCCGAGGCCGCGGCCGGCCAGGATATGAAGGGCCGCGCCCGCCCCAGTCTCATCGACGGCGCTGTCGAGACCGCAGCGGGCAGCAATCGCGAGGCCTATCTGCAAGGGTGGGGGGCCCCGGGGCCCCGACGAGGAGGCGCCGCAGAAACGCGCGGGCATATTCGGCAAATGCTGCGTGGAGTTCCGCGAGGCCGGCGGGGGCCCCCGTCGGGGCCCCCGCTCTGGATTGCCGCGCACGCGGTTTCGCGGGCGTTTCGTTTCGGCGCCGATTGCTGGGAGATCTTGTTGTTCCGCCCTGGGGGCAATCCGGCTCGGGGGCGAGAAAATTCAGACCTTGGACACGTGGCGCTTCGACGGAGACATGCTGGAGCAAGACGTCAAACCTCGCATGGGGCCCCGCTTCCCAGGCAGACGCCTCAAGGGGGTCCGCCCCGACAGGCGCGGCGCAGTGCGAGCGCGCGCCCTGCGTCTCAAGACGCGACACACCGCGCGCGCCCCCGGCGCCGCCGAGCTGGAATCTCGCTCGCACGCTTTCCATGAAGGCCGGTGAGCAATATGATATCCTTGGCGCGAGCGAAGTTTTAGATCGCTGGTGGCGCGAGCCTTTGTTGCGCAAAGTCGTTGGAAGTGGCATCGCGGGGCGCGAAGCGCGCGTGCTGTGTCTGCCAAGAATTCGGTAAACCCGAGTCTGGCATCGAAACGTACTTGAGAGTGTCGATGAAAAGGGCGCTGCTATCCCCCGCGCTGGCCGGCGCGCCCGCTTGCTTCAGTGTCCGGAGGTGCCGCGCAGATGGCGGCGCCCCCGTGCTCGCGGGGGGCCAGCCGCGCGCGGGGTCACATGGCGGCGGGGCACGCTGCTGCGCCGCCACGCGCGCTGCTAGATTATTGCCGCGATGGTTTGCCGCCTGTCGGTCGCGGCCCCCGCCGCGCAGGGGGGCGGGCCGCTCGGCGGCGCGGCCGACCAGCAGGCAGAGACCCTGGGCCAGCGCCCCCGCGCGCGTCGCGGGGTCAGCGGGGCCGGAAACGCTTTCGAAGTCTTGGAAGACAATTCTAGACGCTTCGCGTATCCCCACCAGCCCGTCCAGAAATGAGTCCCAGGGGAGTGGAGGTTATGAGGGAAGCGGGGGAGCATGCAGAAGAACAGAGGGCGGGGTGAGCCGCCATATACCCCAAGAGGGGGAGGATGTAGGAGGAGCCGTCGTCGTCGGAGTAGGAGGAGGAAGAGGAGGAGCAGGAGGAGGAGCAGGAGGAGAGCAGGAGGAGGAGGAGGAGGAGGAAGATAAGGAGGAGGAGATGGAGGACTGCGAGGACGAGGAGGACGAGAAGGAGGAAAAGGAAAAGGAGGAGGAGGAGGAGGAGGAGGAGGAGGAGGGGGAGGGGGAGGAGGGAGGAGGAAGAAAAAGAGGAGGAGGAGGAGGACAATGGCGAGCTTGGAGGCCTCTTGGGCCGTCTTTGGAGCCTCTTGGCGGTCCCGGGGGCCTCTTGCGTATCTCGGGGAGCCTCTTGTGGCCTCTTGGGGGTCTCTTGGGGGCCTCTTGGAGGCCTCTTGGGGGCCTCTTGGGGCCTCTTGGGGCTCTCTTGGGGCGCTCTTGGGGCGCTCTTGGGAGCTTTCGAGGCGCTCTTGGGGCCATCTTGGAGGAGATCTATCAAAGAAGGGGGGGTCCTCAATTAGCGCTGCCCCTCTAGAGTGCCTCGAATCGCTTCTTGGGCCCTTCTTGAGGCCAAAATCTTTCCAAAACCTAGGTAAAATCAATGTTTTGTGTTTTCTCGCCTTTTCGCTCTTGGAGCCGTCTTGGGCCGTCTTGGGAGCCTCTTGGGCCTCTTGGAGGTCTCTTGGGAGCCTTTTGGAGGCCTCTTGGGCGCCTCTTGGGGCCTCTTGGGGCGCTCTTGGGGCGCTCTTGGGGCGCTCTTGGGAGCCTTCGGGGCGCTCTTGGGGCCATCTTGGAGGA